ACAGCTCCAGAAACTGAGGGTTTGGACAGTAGCTTCAAACCTTAATTATGGAGATGACACTGCTGGTTTATCTTCCCAAAGGATTGAAAGCCTGGCTGTCCCCTGGGGCTCCATGGGCTGTTTGTTAGACATTCCCAGTCCTGGCTGGAATCAATGGCAGCAATCCATTCCTGCACAAACAGGGCTGGAGGGAGGGAGGGAGGGGAGCCCCTCTAATGATCCCTCTGATGAGCAGGAACACGGGCTCACGTGGAAGGGGGGAGTGCAGCTGAACTGGAAGGTTTTTAGGGAGCACAGTCTCAGTCAGGGCTGGGAGCCCCATTCCCAGTGTGCTGCAGGATCCAGGATCACTCCATGGCTACTTCTTATAATATAATCATAAATATTAAGGCAAACCATGAAGTTGTAACTGTCACTTAGAGCCAAGTTTGGTGTTTTTTACCTGCAAATGAACTGCAGGATCTTATTTCCCTCCTTTGAGCTGAACTGCTTTCAAAATCAATGTGAGTTTTGCCTGAGTGTGAGGCTGGAATAAACCTCCCTCCACCCACGCGTGTCTGAGCTGCCAAAGTGCACCTTGTCCTCACCCTTCAGACAGTGCTGGATCATTATTACCCAAAAGAGGTGGAAAACAGACAATTAAAACTGTACAGCCATCCAGAGCAATTAGGCTGAGAGCACTCCCAGGGTTATCAGGCAGCAATTGCAGGTGCTGGAGTGGTTTTAAGGAGTGTCTCCCATGTGAAATGCAGAATCAACCACTCCAGTGGGCGTTGGGGAGCGGCTGAGGCAGCTCTCGATTCCTGTCCTGGGGGATTAGCAGCAGTTTGGAGGTGGGAGGGTGAAATCCATCACCTGCAGCTCCTGCCAGGGGGGAGCAAGGATGGACTGAGAAGCAGCAGGGCCAGCAGGAGTGCCAGGGTGAGTTTGGAGGGGGTTCATTCCCAGGGTTGCTCTGGCTCCAGTGTTTTCCAGGCTGTGTGGAGCAGTGGCCTCGGGCTCTGCTGCACAGACACCACGATTTTCATTGCAGGCAAAGGCAGTGGTGTTCCCACTGCGGGGGCAGTAATTAGGAATTCAGGCAGCCTGGGGTGAGGCCACTTCAACCTTGACTTCAGCAAAGGCAGATTTGAGCTTTTTTTATTGCAGCACTCAAGGAGAATCACAAATACACCCTGAGGGACCTGCTCTGGTTGGGGCTGAACAGGTTTTTTGGGTGTTGTTCTCTCCAAACAGCTGAAGTGGGATGCCCTGGAATCCCAGAATGGTTTGGGATGGAAGGGACCTGAAAGATCATCTTGTTCCAGCTCCCCTGCCATGGGCAGGTGCCAGTGGGAATCCCACTGGGAGAGGTCCTGCTGCAAAGTCCTTCCCACCCCAGAAGTTACTGGGAATTGCAAGGGGCAGGGCTGCCTCAGAAATTGGAAATATTCCCTATATGGGATCCTGTTTTAGCAGGGCCTGGAGGGACAGGACACAGGGAATGGCTTCCCACTGCCAGAGGGCAGGGAAAGATGGGATATTGGGAAGGAATTGCTGGCTGGGAGGGTGGGCAGGCCCTGGCACAGGTTGGGCAGAGAAGCTGTGGCTGCCCCTGGATCCCTGGAAGTGTCCAAGGCCAGGCTGGATGGGGCTTGGAGCACCCTGGGCTGGTGGAAGGTGTCCCTGCCCGTGGCAGGGGGTGGAACAGGATGATCAGGAGACAGGAGGTTGGACTATCTGACCCTTAAATGTCCCTTCCAACCCAAACCATTCCATGATTCTCCCGTTCTCTGATCTGACAGCAATGGCTGAGCTGCTCAGGTCTCCCAGCTCACTCAGCTGTCTGCTCCCCTGGGAATTTCATGGCTGGAAACATCATGGAGAAGCAGGAATGCACATCAGTGAAAGGCCCCTGGAGTTTTGGTGGTAAAGGAAACATTCTCAACCATTTCAGCTGAACACAAAGGCACAAGCACAGGGAAGCAGGGCAGGGGTTCTGACTGTCTGTTGTATTCCAGCTCTGGAATTATGGACTCCCCTGTGGGTATCCACAGTGTTTGATCCCAAATATACCCATTCCCTGGCCCCTCAGCACCCCAAGGAGTTTTGTTTCCAGGAGCTGAGGGAGCTGGGCTTGTTGACCCCACAGACTCCTCTCAGCTTTCCAGGTGTTTTCCCAAAAACCCCCCTGAAACGTCGGGTGCAGCTGAAAAATCTCTGTTCACCGGAGGTTCCTGCCCCTGGAACAGGCAGGGCATGGCTTCACACACGTGTGGGAAGGGAGCAAGGTGCTCCCTGGGCTGGAGGAGCAGCTTCCCAAGGCAGGGAGGTGTCTGGAGCACCCAGAGCACGGGCAGAACCTGCACAGCCACCTCTCAGAGCTCCTCCATCCCCCCGGACAGTGCCGGGCTGAGGAGATGCCAGAGCTCTGGGTGGGCTCTCAGAGGTTCTTCTTCCCCCTTCCACCCTCCTGCCCACCCAGGGGTTATGAATATCCCAGCTCTCCATCCCTTCCCTGCGCCCATTCCCAAATCCCCACATCGAGAGAGGCCCAAACGCCTGGGATGGACTGGATGTGTCTGAGCAGCTCTGCATCCACCCCTTTCCCAAGTGTTCCCTGCCTAAAATGGAGCCTCTTTTTAGGGATGAAAGAGTCACAAGAGCTGGATTAGGTGGGGGGTCCCACCTTCTAAGGGTCCCTGGACACCAGGGAAAGACGGATCTCGGGCTGAGGCTGAAAATACAAAATTTTATGACAGAACCAGGAGTTTACTTTCCCCCAGATTTATGGTGTTGGGAAGAGCTGTGGCCTCTGGCAGAGGTTAATCAAAGTGTAGAATTATATAATGTATGATCCAAGCCTTCCCTATAATTAATAAAGGATTCCCAACGAATCCAGCTCCCAGAAAGTGTCCAAGCACTCAGTGAGCACTCCTTGCAAGGCAGGATATGGGAATGATGTGCTCTCCATACCACCACCAAGTGATGCAGGTTAAACAGCTGGAAATGCTCTGTAATGACCAAAACATCTGTATCAGTTTTCCCTCTTACCGTATTATCTCAAAATTCTGCTTTGTCTAACATTTCTCTGGCACTAAAGGGTAAAGAAAGGAGAGTTTTGGTTGAATTTCTCAGGGCTGTTTCAGCTGAGATGGCTCAGAAACATTTTTTTTTTTGCTATAATGACGAGTCCACAGCGTGTTTGTTCCCCAGAGAACAGGCAGATCTGTTCTTTGTCTTTCCCTTAAATGTAGCTGTAAATGAGGGAGCACACGGGGAACTGAACTCCCTTGGGATGCTCTGCTTTGTCTCACTTTCCATCAGAAGACGTTGTGTCAGGCTCCAGCTTTATTTC